GTTTGCCTGTATTTTTCTTATGCTAGCAAAGGATAGCTGTCTGTCAGCTTAAGTAGTGTCTGCATACCTTTCATATGTTCATTATAAACTGAAGTGCCGAAGTGCAGATGTGTCAGTGTGAGGCGGTCTTGTAATTTCAAAATTGAATATGATCTGCATCCTGTAAATCTATGCAGAGTCTTAGTGTACCTTTTGTTCAGATTCAGGGCAATTTAGAATCGGAGACCTGAAATGGCTCTAGATACTCTGGTACAAAAGCAGAAACAGCTTTTCCCTTGGAGATGGCAAGAGTAACATTCAGACAATGGTTCTTAATATGTTTATGGAATGGATTGTATGAATCTATTTTAGTGAATTCAGTGATCCAGATGTCCCTTCTGGTGCTACATTTAGTTCTCTTGACTTGAGATGTGTATGGGGCACACAGGGATTGCAACTCATCATTCAAAATCCAAGCAGTATTACTGGTTTGTTAAGGTGATTAGTGCGAATTTTTGTCTCAAACAGCTTGTTATCCAGTGTCTCTCTGAGCTCCATAAGCTTTAATCCTTATTATCTGATCGCATCTTAGTTCTAGCAGAAGTTAGTCTGTACCAAAGAGATGAGGAAACTGTGCTAAAGAGAAAGGAAGTGACCTACTTAGTCACAGAGAAAGAGTGGGTGAGGAAAGGGAAACCTGAGTCAGGTCATCTTTGTTTCACTGATAGGCAATGCTTCCTCCAGTACAAAGATAGCTTATAGACTCTGTATGTTAGACCCTGCTCTGATCCTAACTTTCCCCCTTCCCCCAGGGGCTGTATTAAGGATAGAGTGTGAGAGCTGCACTTTCCCTAGCTGCCACTTTGTGGTGAGGAAGTTGACTCCTGATGCTTATTGGTATGCTAGGAGGGAGACCTGGTGTGCTGCAAGGAGCACTTTCTGTAGAGACTGGGATGAGGAAGGGGTGGAAAAAATGCCTGGAAGGCATTAGGATCCAGGGAAGAAAGTCCTTGCAAGTGCTAGTTAGCTCTGATGTGGCCCTGTTTGTACTGGATGATTCGTCCTGCTTTGTTTCCCTGTAGCTCCTTCTCACCATGTACAAGGCTGGGCATTTCTTACTCTATTTTCTGTGTGCCTCCAAGGCTGAAAGGTTTTCATTTGCTGTAGTATAATGATGAAAAATCTATCAGAGAAAAGTGATGTAGTTTATTTAAAGCTGCTTGATCAGTCAGAGGCCAAGTTCTCAAGTATTGCCTCTCCTTGGAAACTGGCCTTTGAGGAAGAGGTGCTGTATGTTGCCAATCTAGTTCAAAGTTCACATATCAAATACTTGCAACAGTGTCCTCTCTGAGTTTTTCATTCAGTATTGTTAATTGTTATTATTTAGCAACTATTTTGGAAGCCGTAAAAATTCCCTGAAATTCTTAGCTGCTTGTACGCTGTTAATGGGGACATGGTACCAAAATTAACCAAATAAATTGCTCTGAATTACATGGACTCTAATCCTCTCTGCATTTAAGAATTTCAGCACGATAGGCTGCTGTGTAACAATGATTGTAGCTATGAGGTGGAGGTTGTACTTCAATGGTATTTGATCATTTGCTGTTAAACATTGTTCTAGCTTTGCCTCTGCAGAAAAAGCTCCTAGACTTGTTGCCTAGAGTAAAGGATAAAGCAAAAGCAAGTGATTCCAAGGAACATATGAATTCTAGGTGAGGAACTCTTAAACTAGTGCTTTCTGTGAGAACTCAACTAGCAATAAAACCATGATCTAAAATCTCAAAGCTCTTAAAATGGGAAAACATAATGTTCGTCTGTGTAAGTGGATGAGCTGACCAGCTGTGTTAAATCCTTCAAGGAGAGACCATGAGTAGGTCTGCTGCTGCAATCCATAGCCTTTTTCTCGCTGGCTTGCATGTCACTTACGAAAAATCTCTTAAGGTTGTTGCGTTACTGACACCTCTACCCTTGAGGCTCATAGCTTGCCAGTTTGATGTGAAATTACTGTTTTGTCCTTTCTTTTCTTTCACTTGCCATGAAGGGTATCTGATCTGCACCATAATACATCTCTTTCTTCCTTGTCCCCACGATTTTCCTGCATTTTTGATCTGTCATGATAGGTTGCTTTTCAAAAATCAACTCCATCCTTGATTTTTCTTTTTTTCTTAAATTTTTTTTTTGGGGGGTGGGGTAGGGGTGGTAGATGAAATGAGCAGCCCAGTAAGTTAATATTACCTGATCTCTCTCTACCATACTTAACATTTCTGTAAATTTTGAGGCCGGGGAAGAGCACTAACTTTTTTCTTTGGACCTCTTGTACACTATTATCTTTTACATTTCACTTAGTTAACCTTGTATTGAGGCCTATAGCTTTGGTTTTCGCTATATCCATCCTAAGAAACAAGACCAGTCTTAATTAAAAGATATCAAGAGGATCCACAGACTCCCTAGGTAGTTTATTCTGGTAGTTAATCATCCTTATTATTAAGTATGTACTCTAATTTTGGCATGCCTGGCTGCAGCTTCCAGGCATTTGGTCCTATTATGTGGTTTTCCACAATATGCTAAAGAGCTTGTAGTACTTTATATTTTCTGCCCAGGAAGCTTAATCTTCTTCTCTGTGACTGAGTTCTGTAAGCATTGTACTGGAAGAGATTGTCTCTAGCTCTCAGTTTTGTGATTGTTTTCTATACTATCCACAATGTCCCTGAACAACCAGCACTAGTATACAGTTGGACTTGACAGCGCCAAAACTAAAATGACCTTCATCTCCTACATCCCACTTTAAAGATCTATGACTGCCCTATGCCCGAGTCTTGTTCTGAGATGCTTCATGCTTGTGCTCTGCATCTTTGTTGTTGTTGTTTTAGAACATAAGGTCCAGGCTTGCTTTCTTTAATAAAGAGAAAATGAAGCATTTAATGTATGCCCATTAAATGATCACCATTCATTCTGTGTACCAAATAAGACAAGAATCCTATGATGGAAAAATAGCATGGTGTGTAAATAAAGACTATAGGTATGCAAGACTTAAAAAACCAAATGGGGGCTAGGGGATAGATGTAGCAATGCAGTGCAAGCAATGTTACTAGAACATAAATGGACTTTGTCTATCTATTCAGGAATCTGTTTCATGAAGTAACATAGTATCTGGTGGTTATAACTTTCTGTGGACTGACATAGAGGAGAAGATACTCCCCCATTTCTCTACCTGCTTCATGAAGACGAAATTATCATTTCTGGAGAATGTATGCTCATTATACTAGAGAATGTCTTTTATCTGTCTATTATACTCAAGAGTTTATAGAAAATTTAGCATGTTGCTAAGTCAAAACAGTAAGGCAATGCAATAAATTCTGAGGAATCAAAAATATAAGTATTACTGTGGTATATACTGATACACTCCAAGCTAGCCTCAATGGAAAGTAAAGTATGGGTTTTAGCATGCATTAACAATAAATATATGAATGCTCCAGTATCTGGGTGGATGACATGCTCTTTGTATTGATTTCTGCTAAAGTCTCCATTTTGGGGCCCATTTCCACTATTGCCTTGTGCTAAGTAGGTTTAAAGATGACCAACATGTTGCTGCTTGCTATGATTCCAGTTTCATTTTGCTTCTACTAAAATGGTGGCTGCTGTATCAAGGAGCAGAAATCCATTCCAACTACCCTTCTATTAAATTATTAGCTTTTTGGACAATAACAAGAAGCTAATGAACACTTACTGCTTTATCTACAGCATAAGGAATGACCTGGTCCAAAACATCTCCTGGAAATATTTGTAGATTTGATGGAAATAGGAGGTATCATCCTTCATAGGAAGAGTCTGGCATAATTATTCTTAGGGCGTAAAAACTTACAGCTCAGTAATTCTCCTTTCAGATGCTAGCATTGACATAATCTCAGTGTGCAACAAGTCAGAGGGGCAAGGAACATTCCCAGGTACTGGGATACTATCACCTACTCTACAGAGCTGTTCCAGTGTTCCCCAACACAACTTCAGCGCTGTGAAATAGCCCTTGCACAATATTTGGGAAGCTTAAAGAATCTGCTATCTCGGCAGCAGGCTGCAGCATGCCAGTTAACCTCAGCACCCAGGAACATTCCCAGGCATGGTTAATTTCCTTGTATAAATGCAGCCCAAGAGATTTGGAATCTGTTAGCAGTCCGAGCACTTGGAGCGAGGAGGAGAATGAGTCTTCTGTCATGTGGTAATAAGCCACCTTCCCCTCCCTAAAGCTCTCATATTTTCAAGTTTTTACTTTGGATTGCATAATGATTTCATTTCTCTTTTCACTATTTCATAAAGGAGATGAGAAACTTACCGTGTAAGATCTTTTCTACCAAGCAATGCAAAAATCTAATGCAATATTAACATCTGAAAGAAGACTATTTTATCAATTATATAATTAAGCCAAAAATAATTTTTGCTTTTATTCATGCTGCTGTTTGCATAATTCCAGACACTTGTATTTAATAAACATTATAAAAAGATTTTAAAAATAGTATCGTATTGACTTACAGCAATCTGGGATACCACCCCTTTAAGTACTAGCACTTCTGGCAAAATTTAAGAGCTGAGTTTGTTTTGTGTCCAAGTTTTTCAAGGAGTGAGTCTGTCTTTCACATGTTATTGCTGATGTATTAGCTTTGCTGAAACGATGCAATTTTGTTCATAACTGAACAAGGGTACCAACATGTTTCAACACAGAATCTAGAAATTTTGTATAACATATTCTTCTTGAATCAATATTGGTATTGCATTTTGTTGTTGTATCTTTGGACAGCCACTTCATTCAGAAGGAAGATGCTTATTTTCTTTTATCCTCTGGAAGACCAATTACCTTGACACACTTTTTGATTTACTGGAGGTATTCACTAAAACACGCTTGGCAGAAAAAATGTGTTCCAAAAAGTCTGTGCAAAAAAGAGAGCTCCAGGAGTCTGTTCAGAATTATTACTTGTTATTGGAAGGTCTTTAGGAAAAACACTCTCATTTTCCCCCAGTTCTCAGTCAACTTATTCCTCCTTGATTTGCATCAAACTAGTAAGGAGATCCAGTCTCTGGCAGCCGAAGAGGGCTTTGGCAAGCTTTCCAACTGTAGCACCTTTGGAGCCTTCCCTCATTACCCACTTAAGCAGCATTTGGTAAACTTTTTCTTTTAGTCCATCTCGTTCATAGTCATGATCAATTTCATCAATCTCAGGATCACAGAAGCCCAGTTTACGAGCACAGTGCTTCCACTGTTTAGCCAACTTTTCTCTCACTAGATTTAGGTGTTTGTCGGTCAGGACAGTAGTATTGTCTGCAAAAAGAAAAAGAGTATAAGAAAATGGCATTGTTTAACATTTCTTCTGCTTCTTTTGCTGTCTTGCCTGTCCTCTCCCAGCTGTCTATTGGTAATATCTGGAGACAGAATTTAGTGATACAATTAGATGTGAGTTTTATGGAGGCAGTGTTACCCAGTAACACCAGGAAAGAAACTCCCAGTCAGAACATGTGTATTCGCAGGTCAGTTGCTGGACTTGCTTTTTGATCTGAGGCTATCATATTTTCTCACTTAAACCTGCAAAATTGAAAAGCTCCTTCCTAGAGTTCTTGTACAGCTGACTGATGTCTGTATGATATATTTTATGTTCTGGGACACTATTAATTTGTTTACTTAGGAATACAGAGGGATAGTTCAATTCAGTATTGACCAATGAAAATAACCTAAATTTCAAAATCTTCTAATTTCTACCCAAATGAAGTGGCTGTGGCCCCAAGCCTGTCAGTGTTCAAGAAGCATTTGGACAATGCTCTTAGATATATGGTTTAACTTCTAGGTTTCCCTGTGTGGTGTCAGGCACTGGCCTCTATCTTCATGGGTCCTTTCCAATTCAGGATGTTCTATGATTGAAACTATAAGACAGGTGAGGACCACCAATCCTAACATTGCTTCTACCCATTTGAGAGTTGTTATTCCTCTTGTTCTTGATGCACATACATCTATACTTGTATCTGGTGTCTCGTAAGAGGTCATGAAACTCCAGGACAAATAAGGTACATGGTACTACAGAACAGTATTAGCACAAACCCTTGCTTATTTTATACACTCTTAAGTATGTAGTAGAAAAGCACTAAACAGTGATTTCTGAAGTATCAGAGGGAGAAAGCTGTACTACTTTCATACATTCTAAACCAAATGGCTCTCAGATAAATATATGGGGAGAATACATCAAAACTAGGGAGACGTTTCTCTTACCAAATATACCCATTGCTTCGTAATGCATATAAGTTGCTTCTGCAGCAACAGGAGAAGTGCTGATGTATTGATTCTGCTCTTCGATCTTCATGTGATTGTAGGATCCAATTTGAATTCCAGAACTGTTACTTATGCTGTACTTGATTGGATCTTCTGTATAAGGGAATTTAATACAATTTTATAAACAAGTGCATATGGTTCAAAATGTCAAGAACTAACATAAGGGGGAGGCAAGGAGGAAGAAGGCTCTGCTAATAAGGGAAGTGACTAAATGTTTTTATTGCATTTAACGTAGAAATGGCCATTTACTGGCAACTGTGAACATATTTTCATTATGCAGTGCAACATAAATGTACTTTAGTGAAAGCCCATCCTATTCTAGCCTATGACAAAGTGCCATAACTAAGCCTTACATGCTGGTAGTTACTAGACTGTAAATAATGTTCCCTGCACTTTAGGAATGTATAGTAGCAGCCTCATTTTTTTTTGTTGGCTAACAGCTTCAGGAGGTCAGTCTTTACTTGAAAGCGCTTTTTGTTTCAATCTTAAAGCCTTACTTCTGCCTCTCAGCTTTACTTCTCATAGATATAAGTTCAGGTTTATGGTTACGACTTCAAAGTTCTGTGAGACTACAGAAAATAATTTCTAGTTGCTCATAAGGTTTCTATACTCCATGTTACACTATGCTGTCTTGATGGCATCTCTGTTTCAAAATCTAGGAGTATATTCTTCAGTTATATCTATTTTCAGTGAATCACAGTGCACTACTTGCTCAGTGTTTGTTTCAACAACATTTCTCTCTCTTTTTTAATTATTTTATTGTTTCCCCTGTTCTATACTTTTGGTTCTAAGGCAAGACTAGAATGTTTTCTGAGATACCTTACCAAAAAACCCTACTCCTTTATTTTAAGGCTTGAATCTTTGGCAATAAAAGTCAACGTGTATATATGCACTGATTGCACAGCTAAATTGTGTGCACTTCTGGGAGCTTGCATCTGTGGCTTACCTGTATGTGACGAGTTAAACACCTAATTTGGTGTCTTTTGCTTACAGTTGTCCAATTTCCACACATAACATGAAATTAAGCGACTATTCTAGTCATGTTAGGTGACTCTTGGCAATGTTTTCTGAACTCTGTTTGGATAATCATCCATTAAACTTTCTAACTCTAGTTTAAATGGTGAATATCACAACCTCGGTCTAAAATTGAAGTACAGCTACCTAAAATGATAGACCAAACTCTGTATTTAATCACCCAAAATGATTGTTAGATGCACAAACATCCTTGTTACACACTCAATCGCAATGTGAAGTGCGGAAACCTATGGTCATGTATGAAAATCAGACTAAATGCATTTAATATCTGTCAACCTGAAACTGCTAATCAGAAATACCTATATGTATGCATGATTAATTTCTAGAAGTTGCACCAAAGGAATGCACTCTATCATGTCTCAAAATATTATGATTCCTGTCCTTGTTTTTTTGAGGTGAAGGACCCAGGAAATACATTCATATTTTTAGCTAAAAAATTAAGAAGTCTCATATGTCTGCCACTTTCTCATCTAGTAACAAAAGGAATCTAGCACAAGATATGAAAACACATACAAATGCTTTGTCAGTATTAACAGTAAAAGTTACTGTGCTTATAAATCTCCTTTTCCAAGCCTCTACCACGTCGCTTGCTTGTCATGTTTGGGTCATCATCTAACGACTCTAAGGGGCGTATAGTCAAGAAGACACAAACCCGCTGTTTCAAGTTTTCTTAGTAAGTGTAAACCACTTACAAAATGGACAAGCCTTGAAAGGGTTAATTAAAGAGTTCAGGGTGCCGCAAGCAATGCAACTTGAAAGGAGCATATATTAACAACTTCTCAAGACAAGAATTTTAAGGGTTTAAGATAGGTGAACTGTAGAGACCTGTGCCCCAAGGAAGGCTGATCAGCACGAAGCCTGCAGCTAGAGATTTGTATTAAAAATCCAGAGCAAGGACGGAAGGTGTCCCAAATGCACGTGTGGTTCAAGAGTTGGGTACAGTCACAGCAACTTGATGTTTAATCTAAGAAAGTGACTGGTTTAGGTGTACAGGAGATCTTACAATGCCTTCGTGTTTTTTAAAAGCTCTTTTACATGAAAGAAGATGTTGTCTTTGATCTACCAAATATACATTTAACAGTGTGTACAGGTCCTGCTAGAGACAGGAATTAGTTTTACATACTGGTACTGATAACTTCAGCTATGGTTAGAGGTACTAAGCAGTAACATAGATTATTTCAAGATCCTGAAGTCTTTTGCTTTACAGATCAGGATGCAATGCAGAGCCTGATGGCTACCAGGACAGATGAAGGCTACAGCACTTACCTGTGCCTATTCTGGGTGCAGCAGGATAATATGTAAAAGTTCCCCTTGTGAAAGAAGTGGAATCCTTGTTACCTAACCAAAGAGGGAAAACAAAAAAAAATGCCAAAAGCATCATGTAAATAAAAAAGCAAATGTACTTAAAAATAACTGCTGTATTTCTAACAGTATGAGTACGTAGTTTGTGCTCTTAAATACAAAGAGGTATGAAGCTTTTTAATTAACAGGATTGTATCTCCTTGAATAACTCTAGTTAAAGCAATGACGTTATTGTGGTTTTGCTCAGTGACTAATAGCCTTAACCATTGGCTGGATCCCAGCAAGGGCAATGGGCTTCCATGTGGGTGCATGAATACCTAGCTAGTAGACAGCACTGTGAGATCACAGTGTACCACAGTTACGGACTGAGCCGCCTCATGTCAGGTACTCAAACTGGAAAATTCCTAACTCCCAAGTATGCTCCTGCTGTTTACTGCCGAGACCGACTGCAGTCTGTATTAGCACGCTGCTTGTGACTGGCTCTAGCAAAGGCACGGGACACCACTACATCTTCTGCCGGTGGCAGTAATCTCTGGCAGAGATGTAATGTCCAGCCCGGGGCAGCAATCGATTTGGATGCCCACGGATGAGCTCTGCAATTCGTGATGGGGCAGTAAGAGTGGTTGGGTTATGGTCACCTGACAAGTCAAAGGAAAAGCTGCAATGCAGCTCTTCTGCATCTCAGCCTGACACCTGCCACACCATTGCATGCAGCCTCCCTATAATAACTGTTTTCTTCTTTTTTCTTTCAAACAGAACATTTTGCTTTATTAGTGATGTTGACAGTTGTAATCCCTGCCTTCTGACATGACAGCTCTCAGATTCATTTCAGTAAATAAACTCACAGGAATAACTAATCACAGCCTCTGCATAAATAATTTAACAGAATAACATCATTGTAGCATTCTGCCTATATGAAGCTAGGCATCCTTGGTTTTCTTGTGAGACAATCCAGGAAGGAATGCCACACTAAAAATACCCAATATTTAGTAGGAGTAGGCTAATGTATCCATGCTATCTCCAGATCCTAAAAGTTACAGCTTACAGGCTTCTAGTTACCATTTATTTATACCTTTTGTCCATGCTCAGTGCTCTCTTCCTTCTTTGTCTCCATGCCTTTCTACTTCACAGCTCACTAGCAAATACCAACAGAAGCTCCCCATTGGCACCAGTCAGAGCTTTCTGAAGAAGCCTTAGGTCCTTGTTGATTCCCTGAGGTCAGGAGTGTCTTACCTTGCTGCAAATCATGCTAAAAATATCCATCTATTTTCTGAAATGCTACAAATGTTGTTTCTGCACAAGCAGAACCTATGGTATGAATGTTACATTTTTGAGGGTTAAAAGTTCTTTGCTTTCCTAGACTGATTGGTAGCAGCTCTTGGTTTTAGTAGCTGCTGTACCATTATCTGCTGTCCACTATTACTTGGTTGGTAGCTGAAGAGTTGGTTATTGGGTCTGATCCTCCTCTATTACACTGATGCTTTAGAAATGGTTCATTTGAACAGCCTGAAATCAGTGAAAACAGCATAACAAAGTCAAAGCTGGAGCGTTTTAGTGACCTGAAGTAACTTCAAGTAAACAAAGAGAACTTAATGAAATAAATTCACCTTTGCTGTATGGCAGATCAACTATTAGCAATAAGCACACTGTTTTTACACAAACTACAAAACACTCTTGACCATTTTTAGAGAACAAGTGTCTTTTCAGAAACATAGGTGCTGGGGAGGAGGAATCTCACCTGTATCTGTGTCTGCATTCTTTGGATACCAGTTTACATTGGTCTGTGACTGCGGGTTTGGGCCAGATTCAGGCACAGGAGGTTTACTTGGGCTAAAAGTACTGGCTGAACACAATCCATAGAGATCCTCTGTGTTTCCTGTTAGAAGACTGTTAGGGTTTGGCCTGTAAAAAATATCTACATTTCCCCGTTTTGGTGTTGTTGCAGCTGGCTGTGGCCAAAAATATGGATTAGTGTTTGATCCTGTCTTTTCAGCTCTGGGATACAGTTCACTCCGCTGAGGAGTAGGAGATGGCTTTGCGAATGGATCATAGGAAACTCTTCGTCTCCTTTCTTCCTCTCTCATTTCAGGCGTGTATGCTACAGGTGGAACTGCTTTATCCATCCGACTCCCAAATACATGGTAGTTGTATTCATGCTGAAGTTTTCTTTCTAGATGATCAGCAGACGTAAATGAGGTCTCACAGCTCTCAACAGGTTGGTTCTCAGGGGAGGCAGCAAACAAGGCTTCGTTAACCTCAGTGGTCATGGGACCTTGAGAGCTGTGCAGAGAATTAGGCTGATCTGAAAGGCAGGAAAATGAAATATTTGAAATACATCCAAATGCAAGTATGTAACTTGTTGCAATGACACTAGAATCTATTAATCTACCTTTAATATTATGGTAATATATGAAAGGTGAAAATATAACATTACTTCCAGCATAAGCTGTGTTTTATTTCATAGAATGCCTTTACTGAGGAAATATTATGGAATTTTATCTAGAAGTACAGGCTTGTGTAAGCCATCAGTGTCAAAAACTCATTTTCTCAAGTGGTGTCAGAATGCACTGCAGACTCTGCTTATATTGACATCAAGGTCTCAACCACTGAAACAAACAGCTCCTGGAGGCATTTGCAGGGTCTCATTTACTGGTATGTCTCCGCTGGCATTAACTGGAGTTTAATCAGTGCAAAACTGGAGTGCAACAGCATGGAAAATAACACCACTGTAATAGGTGTTACTGCATACAGCTTAAATAATTTGTCATTAAAGTCATGCTTGCAAATGATTATGTAAAATATCCTGTCTGGGTATTTCAATATGAACCTTTTTTGTCTAGTTTATTCTTCATAGTTGCAAAGAGCACATTTTTATAAACAATACCTACCGGATAAAAGAGTCTGTCATCTACACCCTTCAAACTAATTCTCACTATCAAAGGAAGCTCTACTTCAGCCTTGAAGCAGATTGAGTTATGATCTGGATCATGCTGCAGCATTCCAAGACTAAACAGGAATGTAACAATTTGCTTGCTACTACTTGTTCTTGTGTTTTTAAGGGTAGAACTAGAGATGCTTCCTTAAAAAGTTCTGAAGGCCTCACAGTTGTCTAGAAAACATTGTACATTGCCTAAAGCAAGGGACTCTTACAGACCACTGTAAAACTGGAACAAAGTGTATGTATGTGGTTTTGTTTAGCTCAGATAATGCCAGTGAACTGGGTTTATTTTTTTTTTTTCAAATTATGGGAATTCAGTCCATATTAGGCAGGACCAAAACTGTTCCTTTTGATGGCTGTGTATTGGCACACCTTCAGTCTCACTCGCTCTGCTTCTTTTGTTACCGCTGCTAGAGAGGGAGTGGGAGGAATAAGCCAATACAGAAACAACCTCATCAAAAGTGACAGCTATTAGCAATTCAGTATTAGCATAAACTATATGGCATCCGTTCTCCAGGGCAAGCTTGAGCATGAACAGATCCTGTGGGATACTTTTCACTACCGCTGTCTGAGAAATGTCCATTGACTGGAGAAAAAACACCTGACTCTGACAGGCTGTCAAGATAGTATCTTTCTGAAGTGTAGATTCACAATAAAGCCTTTCGTACTTAAAACGCAAGAGCATCTGTAATATGCTGCAGTCATACGGGATTGTTTCTGCCAGGGAAATGTAACTATACTCCTTTAAAAATACAGCAGTGGGGCTGCCGTGCTAAGTCCACCAGTTCTATGGAAGAACAGTTACGGCAAACCTAGCTTTGGGGAAGATTTATTAGTTGCATGTTACAGTTTAACTTATTCACTTTATAATGTCTTTCAAATGGTGTGCGCAAGCTTAGCAGGATTTTATTTGTTCTGAATTTGATATTGTTGCTTGTAAATCAGTGTTGGAAATATGATCCTATGTCCTTTGCCGTTAAGAAACTTTGGTAAAAGAATTCTAGATGCACTAGTACAAAACTGTAACTACATCATCATATATTAGTGTGATAGCTCTATAAAACCCTGAAACACACAACTCATCCAAGATTTGATAGAAAAATGTGAGAGAAAGGAGAGAAAATTCATCTATTAGTGCTCCTCAGATTACATAGAGAGCAAGATCATAAACAAAGGAATATGTTATAATTATACATCCTGATCGTATTCAGAGCATTCATAAGAAAGGCTGGAGTGGGGAAAAAGAAAAGTCTTTGTGAAATTAAAGCCTACAGACCAAGCAGAAGTTGCGGATGCCCCATCCCTGGAAGTGTTCAAGGCCAGGTTGGATGGGGCTTTGAGCAACCTGGTCTAGTGGAAGGTGTCCCTGCCCATGGCAGAGGGGTTGGAATGAGATGGTCTTTAAGGTGCCTTCCAACCAAATCATTCTATGATTCTATGACTAAAAGGATGGGAAGAAAGATCAAGAACAAAAAGTAATCATCAAAGCGACCATTGAAAAGTTTAATGTTAAACAAAATTTTTGGCATGGGAGAGGAAAGCAGAAGAGTGTAAACTGAAATGGGTTCAAACTGCAGATTTTGGAAAATTCAAAATGGTTAAGTATGACTTTTGGAGCAAATTTAATCTTTTCAGTGATTACAGTTCTTTCTGAAGTACTGAATAATTAAATCTCTTCATAAACCCCTTAATGGCAAGATTACTTTGTACAGGTACACAACTTTATCTTTGGCACAATACACAGAGTAATGATGTGCTAGTATATGACTTACCTACTTGACCATTATTAGTATCTTCTGCTACAGCATCTATTTGAAGGGACTGCATCCTATTCAGCAGTTCATTTGACTCAGGCCATGTTTTCTGCATGTAAGAAAGAACAAATGATCAAGTTGTAGGCAAAAGCTTAACCAAAGGGAGTACCTGTAGAATAGGAAATGGCACAGCTTCACAGTGAAGTGACCTGGATGAAAGATTCTGTGAATCTTACAGAGAGCACAGCCTGACAGAAAATACCTATTGCTTTGCTACAGATGGGCAAAATCTTTTCTTCAATGAAGGAAGGAAGGACTGCAATGCAACTGCAGTATATAATACTCTGAGTTGGCCAGGCAACACCCTTGCCTACATGAGTATGAGCTTAATCCAGACAGAGAGATTTTGGATTGCCTGTCTTGTACTTAATAGTTAGACTTTCTGCAAGCAGTCTCGCTGAAAGGATGCTGCTGAGGTAAAGGTAGCAAACATGCATCCTGTTCTGTGGATCTCTATTTAGTAAGAACATTCATCAACAGGGAAGAGGTGAGGAAGAAGACTTACATTTGGGTTTGGCCACATTGACTTTTATGAAGAGTATTAGGAACAAGGAGTTCAGAGCAGATCTTCAGAAAGATGCAGTACAATTTCCTTTCTTTAAACCCTCATCTGCACTTCACTAGAGTGAAGGCAAAATCCATTCCTGTTCTATTCTTTTGATGTTTTCATTATTCAGACTTCAGTGGAAGTAAAAAAAGTTTTTACCTGGAAAAATTATTTCTCAGTTTACCCCAGTGCTTCTTACTTGTAAAATAATTTCTAATATTTTAGTGTTTTGTTGTGTTTTTTTTTTTTTTTTTTAAATTAAACCCAAGAAGTACTTTCATAGATTAAAAAAATCAACAACTACTATCTCTTCCCAAAAAATCCACTTCCTTCCAAAAGCAAAAGATGACATTCTAAAGCACATTACAACCTTAGGTCCTTAGATTTTACTTGAGTAACTGAACTGTTTGAGCTGGGGGGGTGGGACTAGCTGACATCCAGAGGTCCTTTCCAACCTCAATCGTTCTGTGATTCTGTGGTCCTTTTAGTTAGAAGGCTGTGGCTCTGCTTCTATGATTGCTAGTGGGGGTGGGGAGGGGGGAAGGGCTATGCCCAGACCTTCTAACTCACGTTGCTACTGAAGCTGTACTAGTAGTTCACCACATTGACCTGCCTTGGATGCCATATTCATGTTCTGTGCCCTGATCAGAACGGATGCTTTCCTTCCCGAAAAAGTAATAGACTCATGGCCCATTTTCTAAATAGTCCTTTGGTCCCTGTGATTTGAGAGGTATATTTGCAGAGAGTTAATGCCGCTAGTATAATTGGCCATGATCCTGATCTGGGGCCGCTATCATAAATTAGACATATATACTTCACATTGTGAGTTAGTTTGGTCAAATGAGTCCAGGAAATTTGTTTCATCAGTTTCATTTTGTAAAAGCTTATTGTTTTTTTTGAACAGTCACTGGTGCTTCATAAACATCACATGTTCTCTAAACCAGAAAATTTCATTTCCACAATTGTAGACTTGGTGACAGAAGGAAGCACTTTAAAGAAAACTGTAAATGAATGGTTTCACAAAGGAATTTGTTTTTCTTTTCTTAGTTAAAATAACTGGGTATGTACTCTTCTGAGCCTCACTTCACTGTAAAGATTAAACCTCCAGAGCCAGGAGTTCTCACCGACAGATGTTGGTACTACTGAAGTAAGTAAACTGATAAAATCTGAGACTCACCACCCACTGTTTTTGTCTGCCTATCCAGACAGTAACATCTGAACTTGGATACGTATTTTGGGAGACAGTATTGAAGATATTCCTAAAGTTGAGGTAAATGACATGCACTGCTTTCCTCTCATTCACAAATTCAGCCATTTTATCACAGAATGAAATTGGGTCAGTCAAGCAAGATCAGTTTCAAAGTGGTGGAATCTGGCCATAACTGGGGTTGGGGAGAGGGGAGGTGGGGAACTGACACTTTAAAATGCTTAGAAAGTTACTCACTTTTAAATTCATCAGATCATCTTCAATATTTTTTCCTAGATTTTGGTAGTAAAATGGCTTGTATCTTTGACTAATTTCTGCAAAGAGAGAAAAACTAAATGAAAGTGGTTTTGTATGGAAAATGGATTTATAATGTTAACAATCTTGATGGATAAGGATTGAATACAGACTTGTATGAAGTCAGAAACAGGAAAATTATACATACATTTGGAATCTCTTCACATGGCTCATTTACCTTTAATATAGTAACAAGAACAGGATGATTTATAGGGATTTTTTTGTTGTTGTTGTTGCATTGCTTTTTAAGGTGAAAGCTCTCTGTCTATGATCTGTGGCTGACAGAACCTTTCCTTGACTAGCCAAGAGACTGACTGCCACATTTTAAGAAATAAGATACATTCAGTTGCATTCAGCTATTTGATAAACAACTATCCTGTCTCTGCTAAAGATGGAATTACTGAAATAATCTACAAACATGGTAAATATCAGTGTTTTGCATATGGGAAAATCAGAAGCTAAGACCCAGTGCAAGCATAAACTCAGTCCATTGGCAGAAGATTATGCAGGTGAAATATGGAACTAGTAGATGGATTCCTCCTGGTATACAAATTTCCTCTGAGTATTTAAGTACATGCCTGTTGTATGTGAAGCTCTTGGTGCTTCTGCCTAAATCCAAACCTCCATTTCCTGTTGCAGGTAGGACTTTTTTTTTGTGGGTTG